AGAGCAGAGGGGGTCCTTAGCTTAGGACGGACAGGAGCTAGCCGCTTTCCTTGCACCTTGTTTGTAGCTGATAGGTAGCGCAGATATGCTGCTTGCTTTTATGTCTGGTTTGATCCTTGTTTGTTCCGTTGGGTTGAGAGATGAGAGTTGAAGAGAAGGTGGGGATTTTGCCAAAAGCCATGCTCTCTTATACAGCCAAATCGCAAAAAATAAATGAAGGAAAATCAGACTTCATACATATGTATGCCCTGAACGGAAGATATGCAGAGTTGGTTGTTTCTGCTTACTAGAATATCTAGATGAAAGTGGGACAAGTTCAGCAAACAGGACAAATTTTATCTCTATTTTTTTTTTCAATAAAGAAAACACAGGTTTTATGAGCCAACTGCAGACGTGTTGAAAAGTTAGGCAGCGTATTTCATTTCAAATTTCTAAAAAAGCTTCCCATACATAGGCCTAGACGTATTTCCAGGTCACTTCTACAGCAGGATACTGTTCTTTCTTCCCCTTACTTTGTGATTCACACCAAAAGGCATTAGAATCAAGGAGGTTGAACAGATTCTTCACACTTAATACCTAAAGATCAATTCTCTTGATTTTAATGAAGGTCAGATGGGCAGTGCCTTCAATTCCCTTCCAAGGAACCTTTTCTTGGCGTACTTTGATACTGGGAAACAAAAGCCAACCACAATTACAATGTGTGCACAACAAAGCCCATGTGGCTGTCCTAGAGATGTTTCCCCTCCCCTCCTTGTACCCCACTTTTTGTGGAATTTGTACTGACACTGATGTTCTTTCTGTTGCCTGATTTTTATATTTCCTAGCATGGTCTCTTCCTATCTGGTACATCATGGATATTGTGCTACAGCCACTGCCTTTGCCCGGGTGACAGAAAGTACAGTCCAGGAGGAACAGGGCTCCATAAAGAACAGACAAAGTAAGCTTGTTTGTAATACTGCTGTAGCTTTCCCTAAATCCTGAAATGTGCAGTTCTCCCCCGGTTGCATCATTACATTGATGATATACCTGTAATGAAGTTCTGTAGCCCAGCATTAATAGGCAGAACTTTAGTGTCCTCCATTGCTCCTTCTACTTCTTTTTTATGGCTGGCATTTTCTGTTTTTCTGTGTCTCATCTTTCTTCCCTTCAGTTTGTCAAATGAAACCAAACTCTTTTATTGTTCTAGAAATGGCTAAATCAGGGGTGTCGAAACTTGGGAACTTTAAGATGTTGGACTTCCAACTTGTAGAATTCTCCAGCCAGCCATGCTGGCTGGGGAATTCTGGGAATTGAAGTCCCCAAGTCTTAAAATTCCCAAGTTTGGACCCCTGGGCTAAATAATTTTTGAAAGCTGATTTTCTTTCATGTTACTTTTTTGTTTCCTTCACAAACAAGTTGAATTTCTGTCTTTTTTTGTCTCAAGTCCTGCCTTTTGTGGATTTGACTGAGGCTGTTGTTCAGTTAAAAATTGATAATGTATTGAAAAAAATGGTGGATTTCCAAGTTCGTCAAAATAGCTTCTAAGTGATTTGCTGCAAAAGGATATTATTTTCAGAGTTGAGGATTCTTGTTTATCTTCCCAAATGCATTTGAAATACTTAAAATATAAGTGAGTGGAGCTATTTTCTTGTTTTCTGAAGACATGTTACTAGATGGTCGTGTAAAATGTAGCTAAAACCAAAAAGAATCGTAGGGGGGAAAATATTTGACCTAACATCAATAATTGTGGAACCATTAAACTGGAGTGTATCCAAATAAACACTATTGCAAAATGGGATATGGCAGTTAATAGGCCGATATATTTGCTTAATACTAATTAGCAAGCTATCTGCCAACATCTCCAAGCAAATTTAAGGGACTGGTTGCAGCAAGAACATCTGTTAAGTGGAAGACCAGGCAGACTTCAGCGAATGGTTGGATCTTTGCCTGATGCTCCCAGTACCTTATTAAGAAATACTGTTCTAATGCTTTAAAACACTTTGTCTGCAGTTTTCATTGATACGAAACCAGCAGTTCATTCTATTTTCCACGATGGAAAGAATTGAAGACTACCTTGATTGATTCCCCACTTACTTTTTTTATAGCAAAATTAATTTAATAACTGAAAGCATATGGAAAATCATACAGTTTCATTCCATACAATAAGAGAGGAGTGACGAGATGAGTACATGTTTGGCTGAGTTCCATGTGGAAGGGCAGCCATGCATGGGGTTGCTGCAGAAATACAGTCTGCCATGAATTGTTGATGCACTACAGGCAAAGGCAGTATTCTACCGGTTTGGACTAGATCGCCCGAATTGGTAGCAGAAATCATGGGCGGCTCTGCCCACCCACGCCTGGCTCTATGGCATTCAATTTAGGCCCTTATTTTCGCTGAATGTGCATGTGTGGAAGGATCTGCAAATGCACAGAGGTGGCGCGCACAAGCAAAGCATGCGTGCATGCTCATATTTGCCAGCTGGTAGGGAATATGGTCTGTGTATAATGTGTATATACGTACAATGTCAATAAAGTAAGGTAAGTGTATGCCACCCCCCCCACACCACAGGTGTCCAAAGATTAACTAATAATGCTTTGAGGACATGAGAATTTGTCTCAATTAATTTTGTTCTTTTTTTTTTATGCAGCTGACACACATCCTTCTTTTATGTTCTCACAACTGGGGAAAAATTGCATCTGAATAATTTATCCGTTGGTAAACCCAGTTTTACTGCCTGTCTAATGTGAGATGATACCCAACATCCCACATCCTAACACTTCTGCTCTCACCTCCAGGAATACAAAAGCTGGTTTTGGCAGGAAGAGTAGGTGAAGCCA